CCCCGGCCCCCCCCCCCCCCGCGGGGGCCCTGCCGCCAGAGCTGGGCCAGCAGAGCCCTCTAGTGTAGACGGAGGCAGAGGAGCCCGGCACCCGCCAGAGCCCGACGCATCGGAGCGGATGGAGATGCCAAGCTAAACGCCTGCTCGGAGGACAAACGGGCAGAGGCAAACGATGCCCCTTCCCAGGGCTAGTAACGGAAAGTACAAAAGCCCAAGACTGCGGTTAACTCTTTGGTTTTGCAGAGGGACATGGGTTGGAACCGTATGTCTCCGGAGAGAAGACCTTGCACTCTCGGGGCAGGCTTCTCCTGGCCTTGGTGCTTCTAGGCGTTTCCCTCATTTAGCAGTACCAAACAGAAAGACTTCCATCCCTCCTTGCGTCTTTCCTGAAAGCTAAATTAAAGCAAAATTGCCTTTATAATACAGCTTAGCATTTGGGATTTATTTTTTCTCCACGAAAAAAATCAGCACTCCTGAGCCATTTTGCAAACACTGGAGAGGGAGAAATCCTCGTTATGAAGGCTGGTAGAAGAGACAATCGGTGGAAAGGGTATGAATTGTATTTTACATTCCTCTTGACACAGGAATTTTCTTTCTCCATATAATCGGATTTTGATGTGGAAAAACCTAACTCGGAAAGTCGTCCCTGGAGCTTGGAGAACATTATCTCAGAATCGTAACAAACCAACCAACGAATAAGTAACACAAAGTAGAACTTCTAATAGAAGTAAAATTTGCAACTTTAGAAATTATTTCCACGAATTCAGCTTCCTTGGTTTTCATTCTATTAATGCACAGGTCGTCTAGGAGAATCCTGTGTCTGCATCTGCAGGAAAGTGGAAGGGAATTTGGATCTGAGTGGGCTTTAAGTGTTTTCAGGTCAGCGAGCGCACGGGTGCGCCGTGTATCTCTAACGATAGGTAACTGAGCGGCTGTTAAGATGTCGGAAGCCGCATCTTTTGCAGTCGCTGCTGACCTCCTATGCACTTGTAATTTCATGCTGTTTCTGTCTGGGGCGATAAACCTCGTTTGGGACAAAAAGTGAGCTGTAACGCCTGCAACGAAAGAAGGCTGTTGGCTGAGCAATTCACGGAATTACTGGTTGCTCAGTAAACTCGTTTGATTCCTGCCCGCCTTTCCTTGCCTATGAGCCAGTGCCCTGGCGTTCTGTCTCTTCTGACATTCAAAACCTAGGGCCCCAGCGCGCTGTCATAAATGAAAGCTCCCAAGGTACGTGCTACGGTCCTTTGCCGGTCCTAACGGGAAGTAACTCTAGCCTCTGCTGTAAGCGAAAATCTGTCCCCAAACACTTCTGTCATCTGGCTTGCATTTTAAAGAAAAGGTTATTTTTTTTCTTAGACAAACAGGGTGGTGCCTAAAAGCATCGCTGAGTGCT